GGCAAGAAGTGTTAGTCTAGAAGCTTCGGTGCTCGGCCGGCCATAAGCTTAGTCTAAAAAGCTTATCGGACGGTTCCCAGGCGCGCGGTGCACGTGGGTCTTTATCGAACGGTCACTCGGTGAAGCAGTAACCTGGACACGTGGCGTGTAGTGATTCAATAAGTCGATAGCGTATAATAACGGACGATGCGCGGCCGCGAGTTCAGCGCGCAGCCGGGAGTCGGTGCGCAGTCGTGCCGTTACAGTTCAAGTCAATAATTGATTCAGTTAAATTCAGTTAAAAACGAGACTGTGACCTTAAGCGCCTTTCTGAAAGCCTGTGAAGCTCACCCCGACTGGCTGAATCCAATCAGAAGGGAAGTAGTTGCTGAAATAGAGAAATTCTGGACTGCTGAAAAGTGTCTCAGCATCCAGCTGCATTGCAAGGTAGGCCACAGCGAGAAATACCAGCATCTAATCAACCTATCTAGCAAAACCTACAACCCTGTCAAGAAATAGTGGGAAGGAAAAGAACTCTTCCATCCTGGCAGCCAAGTGTTCGTTCCCAAGTTTAGATCCAAGAATGAGGTAGGAGGTCTTCGAACTGAAATCGCAGCGGAAATTCCTCTCATCCAGGACGAGCAGGGAACTGCTTGCTGGACTGACTTGGAAGCTCTGATTATAGAGACAATCAGGCAAGAAAGAGCAAAAGGGTACTGTCAAAGCAAGCGGCTGATCCAAGAGCTTCAAATCTGGCTGCACTGGGGCGGTGATGCTGCTGGCTGGCTCAGAGGCATTAAGCATTCTAAGTTCGGTTTCAAACTAGTGGGGGGTGGCAGGGTTTGCAGTCAATCACCCCGGAATCTTAGAACCATCCTGCTCTTTGAGGGCAAGGATAATTACGAGAATTATAATGAATACATGCAACCCTTCTTCCCTGTCATGCGCAAGCTGCGCCTGGAGGGACTGATCATTGGCGGAATCCGGTACACATTCAAACAGACAATAGGGGCAGATTACGTCCTCCTAGCTGAAATCCTAGGTCATGCGGGGCACAGCTGCATACAGGGCTGTGTCTTCTGTCTAATCTTCAAGAAGGATTACGGGCGGCTAATCGACAATGGAGGCAAACTTGAACCAGTGCGAGCAGAACCCAGAACCCTTGAGATGGCAGCTCTTGCTGCGCACCGCCCCCTGACCACAGGGCCTGACGTCAAGTGTAACCACTGCGGCGAGGCCTTCCCTGACCAGGCCGCAGTCCTAGCAAGCAAGGCCCCCGAAAACCCCCAGGCTTACCAGCAAACCCATGCTGGTCAAAAGTTTGGCTGCCCCCCCCTCTTCGACTTCCAAATCACAGACATCTTGCTGTGCATTCTCCACACCCTCCTCAGACTCTCCGCGGTAGTCTTCAAACGCACGATCACAGCAAACTGCGACACCCAAGCCAAGGTTGACGCCATCAACTCCTTCATCAAGGAAGCCCATCTGGGCTGCAAGAAAATCAAACTGAAAAAAAAAGACGCCCGCAAGACCAAGGACACCGAGGACATCAACTTTATTGGCAGGTGAGCTCACCTGCTGGTTTGCCTTGCATTGCATTGCCCCCCTTGCATTGCCCCGTGCATCTGACTACAGCACTTGCATTTTGCAACCCCCCTTTTGCCACTCTGCTTCGTGCATGCCTGCCTGCTTGTTCATCCTGCTGATTCATCCTCTACTGCGCTGCGCTGTCCTGCTTTGCGCTGCGCTGTCCTGCTTTCCTGCACTCCTGCTCTCCTGCTCTCCTGCAACAAAAACATAAAGAAGTATTAAATCGAATACTTTTATGTACACTGCAGGGAGGCCAGGGTGCTCATGCACCCAGACATGTACAACACGCTGCTGACCATCGCCATCGAGGACCCTGGGAAGAGAGCTTTGAACGAGAAAGTGTGGGCGGGCCTGAGCACCTACAACTCAGAGCTGCTGAAGCCCATGCTGAACCCGGCAGACGCAGCAGAGCGCTTGGTGAAAAGCGGTGTTGTTCAGGAGAAGGGAGTGGGTTTCCTGAGAGCATTCTCAGACGTCGCTGGGGTGGAAAACGCAACACTCTACTGTCACATGGCGGTCACCCACCTGCCAGAGATGGTGCGGGACACGGGGGTGGACCTGTCGGAGGTGTCCCAGCAAGCCCTGGAACACGCTCTGAAGCAGGTCAGGTCCACATCTCAATCTCCTCGTCCTCCTCCAGCACCTGCAGACAAGAAAGAAGCACTTAGCTTTTCTTTCAATGCAACACCCTGAAGAAAAACCTTTCTCCTTTGAAACTGCTTGCCCCCTGGCTGGTCAGCGATCCCAAGTCGTTGAGCGGTGACACTTTCTAGAGAGCAACCCCCTAATAGCCGGCCAACGTACGCCCTGGCCCGCACGTTCTGGGGTGCCCACATCAGAAGTGTCCTATTACAAGATGCAATTCTACTTTGTTGACGATTTGATTCCGAATTTGTTTCTTTTGCAGGGCAAGAGCGACATGCGAGACTTCTCCAACAAGCAGCTGATAGGCGAGCACATGGGGTTGGGGAGAAATCAGCAGGTGATGGCAAAGGAGCGGGAGAGAGTGCACTTGGAGCAGAGGGTTGAAATGCCCCTGTCCCGCAATGTCAGAAGGCAGCTGGGCGACGGGTCGAAGGAGATAGACAAAGCTGTCGAGCGGGCAGAGAAGAAGGGGCTCCTGGTGAGCAAAAGTCAGCAGCAGGTTGACAAGCTGGTAGCCAAAGGGAAGCAGAAAATGGACGAGTTGGTGGCGGGGGTGTTGGAGGACAGGCTCACCTTGCCCCCTATCCCAGAGGAGGATGCAGCGCCTGCAGTCCCTGCGCCTGCGCCTGCTGCGCCTGCGGAGATGGAGGCCCCCTTGCCTCTCCCCTTGGCAGCAGCTGAAGGCCTCGAGGTGCCGGCGATCATCCTCGAGACAGCACCAGGGGACAGCACACTGCCATCCCCCAGCACCATCGGGTGCGGCGGCGATGCTGGGGCGCGCGGGGCGGGCAGGGGCGGGGCAGCCAGGGGGGCAGCCAGGGGAAGGGCCAGGGGGACGTTCATAGGTGGCCGGAGAGTACCTAAGAATGCGAGAGCATTGTAGAAGTTAGAAAGTAAGAAAGTAGATGGTAAATTAGACAAGAGAAAGTGCTAGGAACTCAACACTCTCGTGCATGACGAACATGAACTGTGTTTAAAACCACCAATTACCTGGATCACCCCTGTCCTCCCTCCATGACTCATCCTGCCGCTCTTCTGGACGCAATGCGAAGTAACTGTGCTGCATTTCCTCCCTTCTCAACCTGTCTGCTGTCAGTCTAGCCTGATCTCCATGATAAGTCTCGAGCAACAGCGCCTCTGAATGCTCGACCATGGACTTTGTCAACCGAGAATTTGCCGCAATCAAAAGCCCCCTTTGCCAAATCCCGGAACTTTGCCTCGACAAAAGGCCAACCCTCTGCTGGTTCTTGCATTGAGTTGGCCCTGTTAATGACCCCCCGGATTGACATTGAGATCCAGCCAAAGGTGATGCTAACCCTCGAACCAGCTACTTTGCTCTCTGTATGAACTGCTCGGACGGGGGGCACTACCATGACCATCTCCCCACTAGAAAAGATCTTGCATGATGAGTAACCCCTTTCTGATTCAATCCAATGGAAGCAGCAGAGCGTTTCCACCGCAGAACAGGTCTCCAGCAGCCTGATGTATGTCTTTACATTGGTGGTCTGCCACTGGCCCTCCTCATACTCAGACTCGAAGATTGAATGGAAGGCATCAAAAGGGACAGGCGGTTCTGACGACCAATTCACCCCACTGTGCTCTGAAAAGGTCAACCGCCTGAACATGCATTTCCTCCACCACTTCAAGTATTCCCTGTCGTCGATCATGTGGATGTGGTGGTTTTCATGATTGAACGCCAGCACTGTGTCAGCCCACTTAGCATTGCACTCCCTACAGCGCAGAGACTTCCCAGAAAGTTTCTGCCCATCCTTAGGACAAAAGCGGAAAAACTCAGACCCCGCCCCAGCAGTGAGCTTGTAAACCCCCTCAAGTCTCAAAATCTTCTCTTCTTCAAGCTCACGAGACTTAGCTGCAGAGTGCTTGGGCCGCTTCCTGTCGCAGAACCGGCCAGTCTCCCTCATCTTGCGCTCCCCCCCCGCCATGCAGGTTGCTTTTGCCAAACAAGCAGAGCGCAGAGCGCACAGCCCACAGCAAGCAGCCCACAGCCCGCAGCCCGCAACCCGCAGCCCGCAGCTCGCACACAACAGGCAACTCTAGGCAGCTCTAAGCAGCACACAGAGGCAGAAAGCGGAAAGCTGAGGTGATAGCAATGAGAGGTGATAAGACAGGCCGACCTTTGACACGAAGCGACCCAAGCTTGCTAGGTGATGTGACATGCACAGGTTTGCCCTGCTAAGCGCGCCCCTTTCTCGAGGCTTCTGACCTTGCCGAGTGAGCTTTTCTGCTTATTTGGCAAATTCCTGCGATCAAACCATGGGGGACCATGTGAAGATGGCGCAGCCAAATCCTTAGAGGCCAATGATTTTTTTTGACCAGATGCAACGGTGCGCCATCTCAGCATGGACCCTGGTGACAGGCCGCCCTTTCAAGAAAGATTTAGATATTTGCTCGTGCATGCTCCCGCCATAGGTCGATTCAGCACGTGAAATTTTGGACAGCGCTTCGTCAATGACTACCCTTCGTGCCTGGCGATTTTGACGGCCTACCTTGCGCGCAGGGTAACGTCCTCCCTATAGATTCAAATTTAAAACATGGTGCGCTCCAGGTGTTGTGCGACTACCAAGTTGCCCTCTGAAGGTGGTCCGCAGGCCGGTGCCTCCTTTTCACCGGATTTTCCCGCAATTATCAAACGGACGGCTCAGATCTCGTGTCTAGGCTGTCTCCGATCATCGGACGGTGAGATGTACGGGGACCGGCCGCAGCCTAGGCTGGTTGTGAGTGTGGCACTAGGACTATAATTCCAACATGCCGCCGTCAAATATCAGATACGATCAAAAGGACTGGTGTGAAGGGTTCTCTAGTGTGACTAAATGATTGTGCGTACGTGCATGCTTCTCATCCTTTGATTTGCCGAAATCAAACGGGAGCCTAGGGTGAGCTATTCAATGATCCGCTTATAGGCTGCAAGCCTGGCGCGTTGATATGCGAAGCTAGCTACCTTGCATGATCGAAGCGCGGGCGGCCGGACGGCAAAAACTACCTGGCACGGCATATGAGTTGGAAGCGGGCGGCGGCTAATTGATCTGCAATGGATGACAATGATCATGTCGAATTGTATATCGTCACATAACATTGAAGCCGTTGCTAGCTTATCGACTGGCTTATCCAGCCTATGCATGCATGATCATGGCATCATATGCGTGCGCGGCACATCGCGCGTCCGATCAGTAAGGAGTCATTTGCCACGTCATGCATTTGGCGGCCACGTGACCAGGGCCCGACGTGTAGTAAAACTGTTATTCGTACTCCCCTCACTAGGTCTGCGTGGTGCATCCCCTGCAAAGAATATGACGATGAAATCTCTCATAAAATCTACAATCCGCCCAAATGATATTCGAAGCACAACTAACATGGGGCTACTAGCCCTGGCCGTGATTGAAGTCGTAAGCAGTAAGTGTGTGATCCGTATGCGCACCCACAATCTTTGTCATCCCAGCTCGCACACACAATAGCGGAGCAGTACGGCCAACCCCTGCTCCGTCTCCAAGCCCTTTCTTCGCTTCGTCTCCTCCGCTGTGCGACGCATCGACCCAAGCTTCCCTCGGCCTTTTCCGTGGAAATGAAAGCTGGGCCGTAGAAGCCGAGCTAGTTTCTGAACCGCGCAAACCTCTCTCTCCTCTGTCTACTTTCCCCTCGCTGGACAGAGTCGACAACGTGTCGCCTACCTTCTCAAGCTGGGCACTACTTTTTCCCGTTAAAGACCGTAAAGTCCGACCGTTCCCCGCATCAAGTATTTGGATTTCCCCGGCTAGATTGGCGCTCACAACCAAGCTGGAACTATACTGGGGGCGGTGCACGCTGGAAACGGCTCGGGCATCTGTTCGCGACCACAGGGGTTTTGCGTACCTGCATCAGGATGCGAGAAGTGCGGCCGTGAGTCATCTAGGTGTCTTTCAGAACCAGTTCGTCCAGTAAAGAGCGTGCTTGGCGGGAGTGGTAAGCTGGAAACGGCGCACGTCTGCTCTCGACCAAACAGGTTTAGCGTACCTGCATAAGGATGCGAAAAGACTGCCATAATCATTCTGTCCGTCCGTCGGTTCCAATTTGATCCAGTAAAGAAACAAGCATGTACTGGCGAGAGTGGTAAACGGGAATGGCTCTCGCGTTTGCACGCGACCAGAGGGGTTTCGCGTACCTGCAGAAGCATACAAATAAGCGGCCGCAAAACTGTCTGCGGATCCGCCAGTAACCATCTGCTGATTACCACAAGACAGACGCGCTCTAAAGAAAAACCAAAGGAGGACGGACTTGGATCCTCATATCAACATTGTCCGCAACACCAGAGCGCAGCAACGGCCGAGCGCAGAGAGAAAAGACGAGAAAAGGAGGCTACATGACCGGAATGCGGAAAAGGTAACACAGCGATCCAGGTTGTAGCAGTGCGCAGAAACGAGACACTGAAATTTCTGATAAGGCTTCAACGAGCAATGCACACCGAGGGCTCAGAAAAGGCTGTCGAGGAAATCTGAGGACCGACCCAGAACTAAGTTCCGCCCCAAGGGTGACTCGTCTGCAAATCATTGCAAAGTCGCTGCGGAAATCGCTCACCTGACGTCCCAACACGTTAGCCCTCGGGGTGTTGCAGCAAACACCATGGAGCGGGGAGCGTCGAGATGTGCACATGTCACCTCTGCGCATAGAAGACAGACATCGATGAAAACCTTGGCCGGAGATAGCAGATTTGCGACGTACTCCTCGAAAAGAAGCACAGGCTGCCGTCCGGATGAGCCACCTTTTCAGCCTTTTCAAGAGACTTAAAGATCTGTGACCAAAGGGAATATGCAATTTATTTCCACATTCACCTTGGCCAGGCTGCTGTGCAGGCTCCATGGTCGCGAGCCTCCGAGAATGTTCTCACAAACGCAGGCTGCCATTTGGAACACAAGTATCGTTCCGCAAACTCTGTCGCATGATCCAACGCCAGACAAAGATCCAGACTAGGTCCAGAGAAAGGTAAGCTTGCGCAGGGTGCTAGGACAGCTGGAGTTGAGATTCCCGAGGCCTTTCCCGAGAGCGTACGCTGGCGCCCAGAACACATACAGCCTAGCGGATTCAGTCAAATTGTTTTCAAATCATAACTCTAAAGTATAGCGGCCTTGCCTTGTGCGGGATGCTGTGGCAGCAGGTTCGCGCTGCGCTCCCCCGAGGAGGCTGCCGAAAGGCACAGGCTGCCGTCCGAGGATCCGGTGAGAAGAAGGTCGTATTCCACGTTCAGGGCCACCGTCGTGAGTGCTGCGCTTGAGTGGGGCCTGCAGGTAAGGCAAGTTTTGTGTCTTTCGGAAATGGACATATCAAGATGCATCTCAAGATACCAAGTTCGCGGCGACTCTTGTTGCCGAGCTCAGTACGCGTCAGATTGTGTAGGAGACTGAACTTGTCGCCGAGCATCACAGGCGCCAGAAGGTTCCGGAAATTTTGCCACAGCAGAATCCGGGGCTTAACGAGACGGCAACCTCCACATCAGCAGGTCGACATGAAAGTCTTCGTAGAGAATCGCCCAACCAGTGGGCATCGACTTCTTTCTTGACTCAGCATAGCTTTTGTTTAAGGTGTCAGCTCCGAAAGCGACATGGCTTCATGTCCCAGAAGCGCTAGCGCAGTCTTCGGCAGGATGCAAATTTGAATAACAGGTTCGCATCCGCCCCCTTGGAGGAAGGAATACATCTCGCACTGATCGCAGTACTCGGTATCTTTCAAAGCGACGGTGAACAACCTCCAAACAACCTCAGACGCCGGCGTGATAATGACCAGTGGCCTCCAGTGCTGGAACATTTCTATGAGAGGGCCTTATGAGGGTTAGAGTGAAACTGGTAACTGTGTTTTCAATCCCCCTTTCGACGAGATCTCGAGGACTCGATGCATGCCTGATAGGAGTTAAAGCTTCGGCTGGAGACAAAGACCAACGACAGGATTTCTCGCGCTGGATCTGTCAAAGCATGAGGGTTTAACGGCTTGGATGCCTGTCTCAGAATGCTCAAAACAGAAGGCCGAAGACAACAGCTCTTGCTCAAATTTCCGTTGAGGTGTAAGAGCTTGAAGGGGTGGGCATCTACCTGAAAATGCTGGAAAACAGACTGCCGGAGACAACAACTCCCATTTCAAAACTAGCAAAGCGTGCCAGCGTGAGGTTTTGTGCCTAGCTGAGAATGCTCAAATAACAAATACATCTAGAATGGCTCTCGCTTGTGCTCTGTTAAAGTTTGCGAGCTTGAGATTTTGTCTGCCTACCTGAGAATGCTGGTGATGCTCCCGCTGAAGAGGTCGTACAGGCGGAGGGTGCCGTCCTGGCAGGCGGCGGCTAGGTCGGTGTCATCGAAGCTGCACGCACGGAGTTCAATGGCAGTTTGACACTTCCTCCGTTCTAAACTACGGTAAAGCGGGCAAAAGCCGGAGGAAGCAGGCAACTATCGGAGCCCGATATCCAAACATTCACGAAGTCCGCTTGAGGGGCATCAGGATCGAACTGAAGCGTCACGACGACGTCAGCTCGAGCGAGATGTCGAAGAAGAGAGCTCACCTTATCGCACGCACCCGCTGACCATGGCCCCCTAGAATGCGGAGGAGGCGGCACTGTCCAGGTTCCGACAGCCGCTTCCATAGGACCACGTCGGCCCCCGCTGCAGCCGCCACCTGGGTCAAGCAAACCCACATGATGAAGCCGGATGATCCAGCTGGTCGGACTACTCGGGGTTCAAAACTGACGGTAACCAATGAGAGCGCCATCTTGAAACAACTTTGGCTCGGCTCACCTCTTCAATAGCGAAAATTTGAGTGAGCAAGTTCACGTGTCCGGCAGGTTATGATCATGATGACCCCCCGCAAAGCCAGCGTCTTTGTTTCAACAGCAGCCCGCAGACTCTGCAAGTTACTGCTACAATGTCACTTCCTATTGAAAAGACACGACACGCGACACGTCCGTTTTAGGGGCTCGTCCTTCGAGTCTTTTACATGGAACATGTTTACGGAGTTGTCCGCCTAGCTTTTCAATTTCAGGCATCTGTGAAGAAAGGGTCAAAGCTTTCCTTTATCGTCGACATTACAGAACCGCTTTTCAGCAAGTTTTCTACTCTGACTCGCCAGTGAAACCTTCGCTTGTTTCAAAGCGGAGCGCGAATTGGCCCACCTTGTGCTGGTCCAATTGCAGGTCAACCACTGGCGAGCGGTTGGGCGCTTGGAGAGTGCTCAGGCAGCGGCTGCTTGAAAGACTCCACAAGCGCACCGTCTGCAAAAACGGCGAGTGACGTCAAAGTCGTCAAGCCGGATGGTGTCTGACAGTCACGCCAAGGATTTCTGATCGAATTACGTTCGAGAGAACGTACGGTGTGGCGACTTCATCTGACAATAAAGCTCAGAAAGGGGTTCGGTGGTTCTGGACTTATGAGATACTGAAACTTACGGGTACACAACAAGCTACTCTAACCTTGATCCACTTGCGACACAGATACCACAGCCACAATGGATCTGGATGACCGGACGAGCGAGAGCACACCTCTGGTTACGACCGACGTGGTATGGTCGACGTCAAGGTGGCTTGCGCAGAATTTAGCAAAAGAAACTGGGACGAAAAGCAACGGTGGAAAAGAAATATTGAAACGTTCCACAGCGAATTAGCACTGGGCCACAGCACAACGGCTATCGAGGAGAGTAATGCAGCCTCGATCAGATGCTCTGACCTGTTAAGGAAGTCACGCGCGAATATGTACTTACAAACTGCAGTAGTTGAGATCGACTGCCGTGTGAAAAAACCGTACGGTCCGCTTTATCATACTAATCGACAAAGAAGAAGCAGGAACCTTTTTAACGACCTTAACCACGGACTACCTCTCAAATTTAGCTTTTTGTTCCGGGTTGCCAAAATCCTTGCTTGAATTTCTCAAAAGAAACGCTCCCCAAACATGGTCTAACGGAGATGTTCAGAAGACCAGTCCTCACTGTATCAGAAGATGCGCTGGCCACAATATCCAGGTCAATCGCGCATGCGTTAACCCTGCACAAAAAAGAAGCAGAGTGGTTTGGACACATTGTATCTGAAAAGATAAGCCAAGCAGACTCGTATTAGTTCTGTCCAATCGGCTCAGTCGTCCTTTTCGACCTTCCTGATTTTGACCCAGAACAGGCAGGCTGCCTTTGGAAATCCAACCCGGATGCATACAAAGATCGATGCCAACTGTAAGGTGACGAAGCGGCCAAATCTTAGAGACCACGGCTCTGGTTGCCTGGTATCCCAAGTATGATGCAATACCCTCACGATTTTTGTAGGAGAAGTAGCTTCGTTTCCGAACCGCAAGATCCTGTGTCTGCCCCAAGAACCGGGACATCAGGACGTTTATTTCGACCAACTTGAAGCAACAGCAAACTGAGAGCCAAACGGAGCTTCTGAGTCTACTTCTTCACATTCTTGTTTCTGAAAGTTTGATTCTGAAAACGGATCTCTTGAGCGGGCAAGTTTTCTCCAGCTTGGGCTTTTCGTTGTTCCAATTCTTCCATCACCTTTCGAAATTCGAGAACAGGTGCACTTAATGCCAGAACAACGTCAACCAACATGAGTGATTCTATGTTTGGCTCCATTGAGAGGCCCAAAACAAACTTCCTCAGGAAACCAAGCAAGAGACATCTGTACCTTTTGGAGTGGCCTTCAAGCGTCCGCAATTGGTAGTCTCCCAACAGGAGGCTCTTCCGATGCTCCTTGTCAACAAGGCATGCCTTCCAGTCGGGTGGGTCCGCCATCCCTCTTCTCGGTGGATTCTGAGTCCCACCTGGTCCTCCGCCATACCTTCCATTGTACAGGGTTTGCCAAAGGCCGGGGGACGCCTGGATAGATGCACGCCTAGGATCACAGAAGTCTCGTGTCAAAAAGAAAATTAGAACGTGGGGTAAGGCTACAAAAGAATATAGGGGGCAAGTGGCCGACAACATTCCAATCCATGAAGCAAGCAGAAAGTTTTTTCAGGAAATGATACGTTACTTTGATGAAGACTTCGAAGGAACTACGCATTGCAAAGTGAGAGCTGCAGAGACCTTGGTACTGTGGGATACAAATGGATTTTTAGGCTTGGAGACGTCAAAGACACGTCAACAAGACTGATGGTTATGGTTATTTGCCACGTCTTCATGCCCTGGTTCTTTATGCCCTGACAAAAACGTAACTTTTTGTGAAACTTTTCATAACAGTTTGGTTTGCAAAGTGGTGGTACAGTCCGCTGGCTTTCTGCAAGTCAGTCTTGATTGCGAATAACTGGAGACAATACCATGAAGATCTGCTTCTGAATCATAGCTACATTTTCAGATCAGTCCTCAACTGTACGCTGGGCTGTCACTCTGATACAATCAGAAGCTTGATGTTCAAACTTGCCTGTCCCCCATTGTAGCAGACCATGCTCCAATTCTGCAGTTAGTTCCTCGACTTTCATCACTTCAACTAACTGTTGCTTTGTGTTTTAAAGCTTCATCTGACGAAGCTTCCCTGTCAAAGATTGAACTGGAGCAGTAATCCAGCATAACTGATACGAGTGAAGTTTTTTCCGATGTTGTTACTTTGACAGCAATGGGTGGACTGCATGAAAAGGGAAAAACAGCCGCTTGACAGCAAAGCAATGCCACGACCATGAGAAGCGGCCAGCTCACCAATCACTAGACACCGCAGCGCATGCAGCCACCTGGGTTGCACTGAGGCGTTTCAGGATGTGGTCCAGGCAGTCGAGGGGAAGAGCAGACGGCCTCTCCTTCATGCTGCAGATGAAGAGTTTCACTGTAGCAGGTCAACAGCGCTTACAGCTATCCTCAGCCATTGAATGTCTTTCTTTGTCAACACAGCATGATTAATTTATTACCTGTTTAATTACTTTACCATGTACTGTCATGCAGTGCAGAAGCCGAGTTTTGGCCGGCCCTGGCCGGCGTCAAGAGCTTACAAGAGGCACAGGTATGCACGGTGAGGGAACACCGGGCCAATAAGAAGAACTTCTAACCAATCAAGGCCGGTAGTGAGTACCGGC